TGTGTGTGTGTGTGTGTGTGTGTGTGTGTGTGTGTGTGTGTGTGTGTGTGTGTGTGTGTGTGTGTGTGTTTATGAATTATGACTGTTGGAATCCAGCAGATCTACTTTCTGCCACGTCTCTCAGCTGGTGTTAAATTTAACGAGTTTCTCTGAATCAGTTCCACCTTTCCCTCATCGTCAATCAACAAACTGAGGAAGTGACTCTTATTTTATTTTTTAAAGATTTTATATAAATATACTGTACTCAAAATGACATATTGGCCATTTAAAAGCAGGATGTTAAGGAGCTGAACCCTTCATCCAGTTAAAATGTGGACAGGCTSAGATTAAAACTGAACGTCTGCACTTTTGTATATTTTATAACTTAAATCTGTTTGAGCAGGTAAAACAACAACTTTGAGTCAGTGTCCAGACAGATGTGGACCTAACTACATCTGCAGCATAGTTTTCCATTTCAGCATCTTCTGATCCTGTGGGTTAATTGAGTTTTATCGAACGTTGCTGCAGTTTATTTTGTAATAAGTAAAATTTAATGTTTTTCTGAGTCAACAGTTCCTGAGGAGCTCATCAGATCCTGGATCGAGTGCTTTGGACCGGGTCAGTATTTGATAAGAGCTAATACTTTCTAAATATCTTTTATTTGTATTAAATTAATTTAATTCATAAATGTTTTCTGTTTGTAATTGGAAAAATGTTTAAACTTGGTGACTAATTTATCTAAGATTTTGTTGTCCTCATCACTCTGTCCTTCTCTTTGAGGCAGGCTAACGTTTTAAAAGTGAGGTGGTTTAAAACTCTCTTGTGTTTGAGGAAAGTGGAAACCATGTCCTGCTGTGAAGATGTAAGAAACATGTTTTTTAAAGCGCATATATAAAAAGAAACAGCTCTGCAACTTTTGGATCCAATCTGATTTTTTCCTGTTTTTGCTGCCATGGTCATTTTGAAGCCTGGAAGGTTTTGACTCCGCCCACAACCTAACACTGACAGTTTTGTTGTAGTTTAGAATGTGCTGAGTCATGTCGTGCTGTTGTGTCGTGCTGAGTCATGTCAATGACAGGAGTAGAGGAACAGAGAAAATTGAACCAAAAACTACTTTGATCCTGTTAAACAGAAAAACTGGTTTATCTAGTTTCTTTACTTTTAACGAGAAATAAACCGATCTGACAACATTTTACAAGCAGAAGACAAAACACAGAACTATACAAACCATCACACCTGCACCTCCGTGTTGACAGCTGGTATGCTGCGCAGCCTCAGGTGTCTTGAAGTTGGATCATCATCTCCAGGAACAGAATCTGTGTGGAATGTACCACGAGTTACAGAAAACCATGGGATGTTTACTGGAAATGTAAAAAAAAAGTAAATTGAAACAGCCAAACACTCATTTAATTCATGAAAATAAACAAAAACAAACTGAATTCACTGATTAAGGCCTATTGTGTGTATATAAAGTGTATATATA